CAGGCAAAAGTAAGTGAATCTTACCTATAGTAAAAAACTAATAATAAAATTAAGTTTTTATGGTATCAACGGATCTCCACTTTCTTTTTTCAAATCATACTTAAACAATAGAATACAAAAAGTCAATATTGATGGAGAATGGTCCCAAGAATTAAAAATTAAATATGGCGTGCCTCAGGGATCTGTTCTAGGTCCTCTATTATTTTTAATTTGTATTAACGACCTCCCAGAATGTATAACCAGTAAAACTTATTTGTATGCAGATGATACAACATTTTTAAATATTAATCCCGATCTTAAACAACTTCAAGAGTTAGCTCAAAACTCAATCAATGAAGCTTCTATTTGGTTTGAATCAAATGGCTTCCTCTTAAACAAAGATAAAACTCAAAAAATTGTTTTTAGCCTCAGACCCTGTGAATCAAATATGTTGGATGGTTATGTAGACAATGTTAAATTTCTTGGTATTTATCTGGATAAGACCCTTTCTTGGGGAGATCATATAGATTACATAAGTTCTAAGCTTTCAAGGGTAATTTGTCTTATAACTAAACTAATACATTGTATAGATCAAAATTATATTAAAACAGCCTACTTTGCTTATTTCCAATCCATTTTCAGATACAATATTATCTTTTATGGAAATTGCAGTAGGATAGAGGAAATTTTAGTCTTACAAAAGAAGTTAGTTAGAATCATATCTTGTGAACCCCAACAGGAACACTGTAAACCCCTGTTCATTCAGCTACAAATTCCAACAGTAATTAACATTTATATATTTGACTCTGTATCATATATTCTACAAAATCCGAACCTTGTCAAACAAAATTCTCATGTTCATAATACAAGGAATAAAAACGTTGCTACCATAGATTTTTTTAGACTGTCTAAAACTCTTAAAAGTCATATTGTAATCTCACTAAAAATATACAAGCTAATACATTTAATAACAAAATATCCTAATAAAACTTTTAAATCCAAATTCTACAAATGGCTTTTGAACAACCCTTTTAGCGAATTTCCCTATAGGGAAGTAGCTATTACCGTAGGTGGCACGGTAAGACCTAGACCCGGGACCGATTTACTTTTTCATTTTGATGTCCCCAGAGTCCAAAAACACCATTCGTTCAAATTTTTATATATGTATATATATATATATATATAGACTTATATATATATATATATATATATATATATACGTCCGTGAACGCGATAACTTGAGTAATTTTTGTCCGATTTTGATGAAATTTGGTTTAAAGGTGTAAAGCGGGATAAACTTGAATGAGTTCGCGAACCAGCACGATCGGACCATGGGAACGGGGCTTTACGGGGGGTTTTATGGGGTAAAAATTGGTTTTTCTCACTTTTGACCCTCAAAACACAAAATTTCCCGATTTCTCTTTTAACCTTTTTAAAGAGCTTAAAAAAACAAATAATTTAGTATATAAAAGTATTTTTGTTCAATTATTAGTAATGGAGAAAATTAAAAAAATTGTAAATTTAAAATTCCCATGTTATTCTTATGGAGAATATTGTCAAATGTTGTAGTTTGCTTGTTTATGGATATATTTTGATCAAACTTGGCAAATTTATTTATTTTGTACTAAGCTATCAATATTTTACTCAAAAACACACTTTATTAGTTTCCTTGTAGCAGCAAACCTAGGTACTCGTTAAACCTAATGTTATTAAAATATATTTAACTGAAAATCAATTCAGACAAATGGAAATTCGCTTAGTCGGCAGGTTTGCTGCGGCGGGGGTATTTATTCTCTAAAAGATTTTTTTGAAATGCCTTTTATTAATTTTTAAGTAGAGCTAGCAAATTTATCAAATTACTGTTGGATTTAGTTGGTTATGGGAAACAACTTTCATTATTCTAAATGCCTTGCATTTTTCTGATCAATAAGATTATTTGGTTGTAATATTAAAGTATGTATTGTAACATGTCTCCTTGTGTGTAGTATTCTTGTAAATATTGTATATTGTATTCATTAACTGACTATGCTAGTTTTAGCAGTTTTTCGGACATTGTCAATAATTTGTATAAATTCACAAGACAATAAACACATTTCATTTCATTTCATTTCATTTCATTAACAATTTATTTTGTGTACTGAGTTTTGATTTCGATCCAAGAAGCCAATTAAGTTTAGTTGTTTTTAAATTTAGATGTTGTCTTTTAGTCCAGATATGTGCCTTCCAATTAAGCTTTGCATCTAAGTGCATGCCCAAGTATTTTTTTTCTGTTACTTGAGGGAGGTGAATATTGTTCATGGATACTGGAGGACATGTAGCCTGATTTAAGGTAAAAGTAATGTGTGCTGAATTATTTTTATTAATTTTGAACCTCCATGTTTTATGTTTTTTTTCACCAATGTGAAATTTCATCCAAGCTAGTTTAGCTGTAAATTTGCTGTAGCTTGAACTGGATTATCGTGGACAAATAAAATCACCGTGTCATCCGCAAATGTAGCAACCATAGTGTTTACACTTTCTGGTAGGTCCGATGTATAGAGAATATACAAGTATGGTCCAAGCACGCTTCCTTGGGGGATTCCTGATTCTATTGGGTAAAGGTCAGTTAAGTAATTTTTATGTTTAATTTGGAAAGTTCTGTTGGTAAGATATGATTTTAAAATAGGAAAAACTGAATGGGTAGTAACTTCTTAATTTTGAATAGTAAGCCAGAGTGCCATACTTTGTCAAATGCCTGACTGGCATAAAGGAAAGCAGCAGAACAAAATTGTTTGTTTTCCAGACAGTTTTGAATTGTATGAACAACCCTATGGACCTGTTCCACGGTGCCATGTCTCCATCTAAACCCGAATTGGTGTCCAGGAATGACGTCAACTTCTTCAAAAAGAGCTTGTAGTCTTTTGAGGAACAATTTCTCAAACATTTTAGACACTATAGGACACTGTAGAGCCTTATAGGTCTGTAGGAAGTGATTTCATGAGGAGGTTTTCCTGGTTTTGGTATGACAATTGGGGTTTCTTAAATTGAGTTGGTATGTGGTCTAGTCTCAATATAGAATTAAAGAGAAATGTAATAAAAATAATTCCTTTCCTTGGCAGTTCTTTTAACATTTTCCCAGTGATGGAATCGTTACCAGGAGATTTTTTTCGGATTTAGCGATTTGTCAATGGTTGCCTTAATTTCTGTAGGTCTGAATTTTTCCAGAGGAAAGTCAAGTTGAAGTGGAGAGTCCAAGAATTCTATTATCTCTTCTTCATTATTGACCACACCTACATTTGGCTTGAATACATTGGAAAAGTAATCCCCGAAAGCTTCAGATTTTTCTATGTCACTCTTAGCCCAGCTTCTATCCGGTTTACGAATTGGCGGGATTGAAATTTGGGGTTGCTTCAGCCTTTTTGTGACTTTCCATAACAAGTAATCCGTAGCTTCCGTAGCCGACAAAGATTGAGTATATTCTTCAAACCATCGGTTTTTTTGTGTCGTACAATAATCTTTTCAAATTCCGTGCTGCTCGGTTAAAGTTGGCTTTATCATTTGGGTTTCTTGAGTTTTGCCAAATTCTTCTGAGTCGTCTCTTTTCTGCTATCTTTTTCTTGATATAAATTGGGTAGCCTAGGCATATTTTCTCTGATTTTTCATGATTAGGTAGAGGTGTGGATTCTTTGGTAGAATTTTGAATACAGTCAACAAAGCAGTGATCAACAGCAGCTTCTACATTTTCAGGACTACATGTAAATTTAAATTTTAATGTGTAAATTTAAGTTTTGATTTATACAATTTTGAAATTGATTCCAGTCCGTGTATTTATTGAAAAATGCGTCCCCTGGTTCTTTGTGAAATATTTCGGTACTTAAATTTAACATAACTGGTGAATGGTCAGAAGATAGGTCAAGATAAGATTTACTTCAGTGTAATTTTGGTTAATACCTTTTGAAATAAAAAAGTCTAACAGATCAGGGATTTTTCGCATATCAGTGGGCCAGTAGGTAGGTTCACCAGTTGAAAAATGGGTGAACTGATTGTCATTCATTAATCTTAAAAGCTGTCTGCCTCTAGGTGTAGCCAAACGTGACCCCATTCTTGATGCTTTGCATTAAAATCACCCCCTGCAATAAATCTAATACCAAGAGTGTTGAAATACTGTTCAAATTGATTGTAAGTTATAACATGCCTTGGAGGGCAGTACACAGCTGAAATTGTAATAGGACCAAGCCAATCTTCTAAAACAATGGTGGAAGCTTGAAGATAATCTTCCTTAAAACATGGTAGTTCATAGTGTTTTATCGTGTCCCGAACTAGGATTGCAGTTCCTCCATGTGCAGTGTTGTCAGGATGATTAGTGTAGTACAATTTGTAATATGGAATTTTGAAATAGGTTCTATCCGTAAAATGAGTTCCGAAATAAGCAATACATCTAATTTGTGTTGGGTAATGAATAACTGAACCTCTTGGCTACGCTGAGCCAAGCCATGAGCATTCCATTATGCCACTTTAAGGAGAATATTTATTTAAGGCGGGCAATAATTTTTTTTTTTTTTTCATGGGGAGGAGGTAAAAATGCATTTACGCACACTGAGGTGCTCAATGGCCACTCAGTAGTGTCGGACTCCCGCGGGCTTATTGTCCCCGGACTACCGGCTAAAAAACCCCCTCGTCTCCTAGGACACTAGCCTGGAACTGTTTAGCACATTACTTTGGGCTAGGCCTTTTAAACTACGCCCCTAGGGCTTTCCTTCTGGTTTCCTCAGAAAACTAAGGCCGATCGAGGTCAACCTTCTTATCCCGAAGTATGGCCTCGACAAACTGCTTTACACGGTTCCAGTTTCCTTCCCCCTGGAGCATAACGGCGGGCAATAACAGTAGTAAGAAGATTAAGTAAGGTATTTATCTGTTCTGCTTGTTTAGATAATATGCTCTCAAAGCGTGAGAAACAATTTTTTATAGTCTCAGACAGATTGTGAGATTATTAATATATTTAATATATTGTTAATATATTTGAAATTATTTCTGTCATCTAGGCTCACCGTCACTGGCACTGCCATCAAAAACCTAAATCAGAGCCGTTGGGTCAAAGCTCAAGTCACCATTGAGGTAAATATTGAAGTTATGAGAAATCATTGTTATTTATTTTGCAGCTCACAGTACAAAACAGTATTTTTAAAATGTTCACTACACAAAATAAAAGCAACCTTCTATATTATACTTAGTGCACTGAGGGGTTTTTTCTGTTACATACCTTTTTCAGACGTCCTATTTAACCAATTTTTACAACTGATGTGTGATTTTCAAGCTTATGATCTAGAGTACTGATGATGAATGGTAACTATAAAAAGGTGATTTTCTTTAGGGCTTTGCACTTTGCCCCGTTTGATTTATTTCTAGAGTTGACTTTCAAAGATTTAGTGATACTGACCAACTTTCTAAATTTAACAATTAAAATGTGAATTTTACTTCTCCCTGGTTTTTCTAAGTTTTTCCAGGTTCCTGGATGAACATTACCGGTACAGTATATTGATCCCCACTTAAGTTCCACTTAAACTATAACCAATTTAAGACTTGCAGCTTAAGTATACATCAATATACATTACATTTGTATATTTTTAATCTTATTGCTAAAAAGTTCAGTGAGCTAACTATAGTGTTGAAAAAATAATAATCCTTATTATAGTAATCATTTTCATTATCATCATCACTTAAGGTCCGAAAACATATATCGTCTCCCTCGATAGCAGCAACATCCTGAATATTATCTCTATTGTTCATGAAATATTATCATTGGCAACACAGTCGTGTGGTCACCTCCCATGGTGTGGAGACGTAAACGTCATCACAGTCTGCCGTAATCATGGCAAAATCCTGGACATCTCCCACGGTTTGTAAACATTATTTTTTTCACCCGCGGTCACAGAAACATCATCATAGTCTTCCACAATTGGGGCAAATGCGTGAATTTTTCTATATTATGAACTTCGCAGACACGTTTTACTATTTCAATCTTCTCCCGGGGCTAAAATTAAAATCCCAGAATTGCTCCAAAAATCCCTGCTTTTCCTGGTTTATTCCAGGTCCCTTTAAATTCAAGGTTTTTTCCTGGTTCTCCCAGTTGGTATACACCCTGATACATTCGTTTTGGGTTCCACAGAACCCAAAATAGTGGTTTTCGAAGTGATACCAATCCGTGTGTGTATGCTAAGCTACAGACCACACCTCTGGTCCGATTTTGATGAAACCTGGTTTGTGGGTTCTGATCCATGGTAGCTTATCTCTAGATGTTTTTTATATTTTTGATTTTTCCCATAAAATAACGTAAAAAACTAGTTTGAAAAAAATGGCCCGAACAATTTTGATTAACATTTAGTACTGTATTTTATAGCTCTTTTAACTCTAAGCGAAACGGTAAAAAATTGCTGTAAAAATTATGGTTCAATAGTTATTGTAACTTATGTTTTTTCTGCCATAAAATGTCATTTACTCATGATAAACGTTGTTGCCAAGCTGATGGGAGAAAGTATGTGTCACAGCAGATTGCTGATACCGTTTATGTTGATAATATTGTAACCTTATAGAAGTCAGTAAACCACTCTTTTAAGGTGTAGGAGTACAATTTTACAAATATATTTTATTGTTAATTTGTGGTTGTATTGACCTAATTATTATTGTACCCTATTAAGCAAATATAATCTTTGAAAAGTAAAAGGTTATTAGATTTTTGGTTTTACCTTGAAAACAAGTTTCGAAACCATATTAAAAAGTGTGATTTGTGCACGTCCCCTTGTATGGAATGAAAATAAATTTTTATTGCAAAAATATAGGCTTGTAAACTGTTAAAATTGATTCAGGAAAATATTCATGTGTAACATTTCTTTACTGGTTAAGATAAGAAAATCTTATTGTAATACATTTTCAGGTATTTATGGGTCCAAGAGTAACTAAAATATCACGACTACAGTCTAGTTAAGGAAATATTCATGTCTAAACATTTCTTTACTGGTTAAGATAAGAAAATCTTATCGTAATACATTTTCAGGTATTTATGGGTCCGAGAGTAATGGCTGCAAACCGAATTGCAGTGAATGGCTCTCAATGGTCCAAATATGTCACAAAGAGTTACAGTGGAACAGGCAACAAGCAGTGGCTTGTAGTGCAGCCTCTGGACCAGACAGTGCAGCTATGGGTGATAGAGCAAGTACCAGGTCTGACACACTCAGAGCCACAAACAACCACACTGAGTTCTACAGGCTACTGGGCCAGCTACGGTCTGCCACATTATAAGGTCAGTCACACAACAATTGTAGTCAAAGTTCCCTAGACACTGCTAGACAGTGCAGCTGTGGGTGATACAGCAAGTACCAGGTCTGACACACTCAGAGCCACAAACAACCACACTGAGTTCTACAGGCTACTGGGCCAGCTACGGTCTGCCACATTATAAGGTCAGTCACACAACAATTGTAGTCAAAGTTCCCTAGACACTGCTAGACAGTGCAGCTGTGGGTGATACAGCAATTACCAGGTCTGACACACTCAGAGCCACAAACAACTACACTGAGTTCTACAGGCTACTGGGCCAGCTACGGTCTGCCACATTATAAGGTCAGTCACACAACAATTGTAGTCATAGTTCCCTAGACACTGCTAAACAGTGCAGCTGTGGGTGATACAGCAAGTACCATGTCTGACACACTCAGAGCCACAAACAACCACACTGAGTTCTACAGGCTACTGGGCCAGCTACGGTCTGCCACATTATAAGGTCAGTCACACAACAATTGTAGTCATAGTTCCCTAGACACTGCTAGACAGTGCAGCTGTGGGTGATACAGCAAGTACCAGGTCTGACACACTCAGAGCCACAAACAACCACACTGAGTTCTACAGGCTACTGGGCCAGCTACGGTCTGCCACATTATAAGGTCAGTCACACAACAATTGTAGTCATAGTTCCCTAGACACTGCTAGACAGTGCAGCTGTGGGTGATACAGCAATTACCAGGTCTGACACACTCAGAGCCACAAACAACCACACTGAGTTCTACAGGCCACTGGGCCAGCTACGGTCTGCCACATTATAAAGTCAGTCACACAATTGTAGTCAAAGTTCCCTAGACACTGCTAGACAGTGCAGCTGTGGGTGATACAGCAATTACCAGGTCTGACACACTCAGAGCCACAAACAACCACACTGAGTTCTACAGGCAACTGGGCCAGCTACGGTCTGCCACATTATAAGGTCAGTCACACAACAATTGTAGTCAAAGTTCCCTAGACACTGCTAGACAGTGCAGCTGTGGGTGATACAGCAAGTACCAGGTCTGACACACTCAGAGCCACAAACAACCACACTGAGTTCTACAGGCCACTGGGCCAGCTACGGTCTGCCACATTATAAGGTCAGTCACACAATTGTAGTCAAAGTTCCCTAGACACTGCTAGACAGTGCAGCTGTGGGTGATACAGCAAGTACCAGGTCTGACACACTCAGAGCCACAAACAACCACACTGAGTTCTACAGGCCACTGGGCCAGCTACGGTCTGCCACATTATAAGGTCAGTCACACAACAATTGTAGTCATAGTTCCCCAGACACTGCTAGACAGTGCAGCTGTGGGTGATACAGCAAGTACCAGGTCTGACACACTCAGAGCCACAAACAACCACACTGAGTTCTACAGGCTACTGGGCCAGCTACGGTCTGCCACATTATAAGGTCAGTCACACAACAATTGTAGTCATAGTTCCATAGACACTGCTAGACAGTGCAGCTGTGGGTGATACAGCAAGTACCAGGTCTGACACACTCAGAGCCACAAACAATCACACTGAGTTCTACAGGCTACTGGGCCAGCTACGGTCTGCCACATTATAAGGTCAGTCACACAACAATTGTAGTCATAGTTCCCTAGACACTGCTAGACAGTGCAGCTGTGGGTGATACAGCAAGTACCAGGTCTGACACACTCAGAGCCACAAACAACCACACTGAGTTCTACAGGCTACTGGGCCAGCTACGGTCTGCCACATTATAAGGTCAGTCACACAATTGTAGTCAAAGTTCCCTAGACACTGCTAGACAGTGCAGCTGTGGGTGATAGAGCAAGTACCAGGTCTGACACACTCAGAGCCACAAACAATCACACTGAGTTCTACAGGCTACTGGGCCAGCTACGGTCTGCCACATTATAAGGTCAGTCACACAATTGTAGTCAAAGTTCCCTAGACACTGCTAGACAGTGCAGCTGTGGGTGATACAGCAAGTACCAGGTCTGACACACTCAGAGCCACAAACAACCACACTGAGTTCTACAGGCCACTGGGCCAGCTACGGTCTGCCACATTATAAGGTCAGTCACACAATTGTAGTCAAAGTTCCCTAGACACTGCTAGACAGTGCAGCTGTGGGTGATACAGCAAGTACCAGGTCTGACACACTCAGAGCCACAAACAACTACACTGAGTTCTACAGGCTACTGGGCCAGCTACGGTCTGCCACATTATAAGGTCAGTCACACAACAATTGTAGTCATAGTTCCCTAGACACTGCTAGACAGTGCAGCTGTGGGTGATACAGCAAGTACCAGGTCTGACACACTCAGAGCCACAAACAACCACACTGAGTTCTACAGGCCACTGGGCCAGCTACGGTCTGCCACATTATAAGGTCAGTCACACAATTGTAGTCAAAGTTCCCTAGACACTGCTAGACAGTGCAGCTGTGGGTGATACAGCAAGTACCAGGTCTGACACACTCAGAGCCACAAACAACCACACTGAGTTCTACAGGCTACTGGGCCAGCTACGGTCTGCCACATTATAAGGTCAGTCACACAATTGTAGTCAAAGTTCCCTAGACACTGCTAGACAGTGCAGCTGTGGGTGATACAGCAAGTACCAGGTCCGTGAAGTTGGCGTACCCATATTAGCGTATCCACTTTTGAACATACCAATCGTTAGTTCATCGTTAGTTCTCGATAGTTCCCAAATTTTTTCGTTAGTTTTCAAAAAATAAAAAAAGTTATAGCCGATTATAAGTGGGTACGCTAACTTCACACTTCCGGGTTCTAGCACGCGCCGTTTTCTGAGAAGAAATGTTTACATCTATATACCAATCGTTAGTTCTTCGTTAGTCCTCGATAGTTCCCAAATTTTTTCGTTAGTTCTCAAAAAATAAAAAAGTTATGAGGCATACAAAGTGGGTACGCTAACTTCACAATTGTACAATTTCCAGCGGGAACAGTTTTTTTACTATAAATGCCTATATCTATATACCAATCGTTAGTTCTTCGTTAGTTCTTGATAGTTCTCCAAAATTAACGTTAGTTCTCAAAAAATAAAAAAGTTACGAAGCATAAAAAGTGGGTACGCCAACTTCACAGTTATAGAATTTCCAGCGGGCACAGTTTTTTTACTATAAATGCTTATATCTATATACCAATTGTTAGTTCTTCGTTAGTTCTCGATAGTTCTCCAATATTTACGTTAGTTCTCAAAAAATAAAAAAGTTAAGAGGCATACAAAGTGGGTACGCCAACTTCACAATTATAGAATTTCCAGCGGGCACAGTTTTTTTACTATAAATACCTATATCTATATACCAATCGTTAGTTCTTCGTTAGTTCTCGATAGTTCTCCAATATTTACGTTAGTTCTCAAAAAATAAAAAAGTTAAGAGGCATACAAAGTGGGTACGCTAACTTCACAATTGTACAATTTCCAGCGGGAACAGTTTTTTTACTATAAATGCCTATATCTATATACCAATCGTTAGTTCTTCGTTAGTTCTCGATAGTTCTCCAAAATTAACGTTAGTTCTCAAAAAATAAAAAAGTTACGAAGCATAAAAAGTGGGTACGCCAACTTCACAGTTATAGAATTTCCAGCGGGCACAGTTTTTTTACTATAAATGCCTATATCTATATACCAATCGTAAGTTCTTCGTTAGTTCTCAATAGTTCTCCAATATTTACGTTAGTTCTCAAAAAATAAAAAAGTTAAGAGGCATACAAAGTGGGTACGCACACTTCACAATTATAGAATTTCCAGCGGGCACAGTTTTTTTACTATAAATACCTATATCTATATACCAATCGTTAGTTTGTCGTTAGTTCTCGATAGTTCTCCAATTTTTTTGTTAGTTCTCAAAAAATAAAAAAAGTTATGAGGCATACAAAGTGGGTACGCTAACTTCACAATTGTACAATTTCCAGCGGGAACAGTTTTTTTTACTATAAATGCCTATATCTATATACCAATCGTTAGTTCTTTGTTAGTTCTCGATAGTTCTCCAATATTTACGTTAGTTCTAAAAAAAAAATAAAAAAGTTACGAGGCATACAAAGTGAGTACGCTGACTTCAAAATTATAAAATTTCCAGCGGGCACCGTTTTCCGACTAAAAACGCTTAAATCTATATACCAATTTTTAGTTCCATGCATTGTAATTTGATTCATCTTCACACAATGAAAATCAAAGTAACACTGACATTAGAATAACTATCACATTATGATTCTCTCGAAGAGAAAGGATTGCTTATCAGTTCCAGGATAGCGCTTATCTGTGATATCCGCAATAGTAGTTGCAGGTGTCACTTGATTAGATTATTTTTTAGGAGTGATAATTTTGATTACGTTATCAAAATGATTAACAGTTGAATATGTTCAGTTAATTAGAACATCCAAAAAAGACAACGCTTCCAAAAATTGGTTTTAGATAAGCAATGAAATCATATTTTATACCGACTTAGTTGTGTGAAAAAGTGCATTTTATAAAAAGTCCATCATGGAAACAAAATAAACTATCCATCAAAATGAAAACCAGAGTCTGCTAAGTAAAATGGTATAAAGTAATTTATAAGCAGTGATTATTTGAATTGGATTAAGCAGATAAAATATGTACGATCAAAGAACTTCTGTTTGGTTAATTAAACTAATCGTTTGTATTGTTTGTATTTGTTTGTGTTCGGTATTAGTATTATAAAATTACATCATTAAACGTAACACGTTACGAGTGACAGTTGCACGGATCGAGACTGGAAGGTCATACAGACTTGAACAAACTGGAGACTGGAGTAGTGGATGGAATAAATGTGTACAATACATTACTAGCATGGCGTATTGGGTATGGCGGGGTCGAGACAATATTTATTTAGTTGTATAGTAGTATACTGTAAGCATTTTTCGTTGAATGAAGGTGCGCGCTGGAAATCAGAAGCATTAAATAAGTTTATCTATTGATTATTGGCTATACGTATATTTATTAAATTTTTTTAGAACTAAC